TTTATATTATAATTTTAGTGAATTAGATTAGATTTATTTTATATCATATATATTGTAATGCGCTGCTGATAATTTTATTGAAGCAGCGCAATATAAGTCAATAAATTATTATTATTGTTATTATCAACTTACCACAGAACACTGATCTTTGTCCATGGAAATTGAAATACGGTAAGTAAAGAAAAACAAAGGTGGATGAACACTGCTCAGTTCTGGTAAGAATGCTGTAGCTGTCTTGACAGTAATCCCTTTGGTAGTTGCTGATGCTGCATACTCAAATTTAAATATTTCTTTATTGATGACAGGGTAGTAATTTTGAGAGAGTCTTTCYGCATATTCTGTTATCCAGTCTGTAAAGGAACAAGCACTATGAAACTTGTGCATTTTCACACTAGCAATTTCATCACTATCTGTAATAATGCTTCTATCAGGACTTGGCCAGAAGATCTCTCCTGGTGTATGACCTTCTTCATCAGTAAGAGCAATAAACTGCCCATTACCAGTGTAAATACATAAGGACAATAGTAAACAATTTTGAAGTCCTTCTCTGTGTTGCAGTCCACTGGTTGCCACACTTAAATCAAGCAATGATTCACTTTGATAATGGTTAGATATAGCCATAGATCCTATTAGCCCTGGACTCACTAGCCTCTGACCATTGTGAATTCGATATGAGCACTGAACATCAAGTGGAAGTGTGAGCCCTGCAATAATCAAAAGAGAATAAATAATTATTTGTACTATAACGTAAATCTCCAAACAACGATAACTGCTAGTCTTATATTTTGAGTGTTGAATATCAGTATTRCGAAGGTGCAAACTTAAGCTCGTAGTTAGCAGTTATTATTCAAATGATCCAATCACAAATTGAGACTTGATTTGAAATTTACAAGTTATGCTTTATTTCTGTAGTTTTCAAAACAAACTTGAAATCAAATAAGAAAAAGTTTCTCAACCTTGATAGGATCGCATATGTTCTAGGRGGCTTATTGCCTTATTATAGGAAAGTCTTTTTGTTAGGAATTAGGGGGACTTATTTTTGGAGGTATTACAGTATCTTACATTATGGCCCAAACGATATTCGAAAACTCTATACGCTTTAAAAGTATGTTTTCACAAGACATGACTCAAAGTCCAGTATACATGTTGGGCCATTCCATTTCATATGCGCTCCCCCCTATTAAGGGTTCTGGATACTGGATATCCAAGGGGGAGGGAGGGGGGAGGGGGTTGCTGACTGATGGGATGCTGAAATCCGTGATTTCAACAGGGGAATATATGTGAAATATATGTATTTCCAGGGGGGTCAGAATATTAAAATCCAAAGGGGTTTGAAAATTGAAATATCCGATGGCATAACAACGCTTATGCCTCAAYAGAAAGGGAGGGGGTGGGGCGCGAATATAGAATGGAATGGCCCATTGTACCTTCCAAATGACGTTTTGTGATTCTGTCCAGTTCTTCGTCTGATAGTCCTGGGTTAAGAGATGCATAGATGTCGGGACAGTTGGCTTTAGTAAACTCTTCAATCTGGTTCCAAGCCTTTTTTATAGCAGTGTAACAGCAGATGTATTTGCCCCATTTTTTATTTTGTGAGATGTAAACATCCTTCCATTCCTTGTTGGGCAGAGGATCACTCACATCCAACAACCAAACGGTTTCACACCAGATTTTCCACGAAGAGATAGAAGACCCTATTTCGCTAAAGTTCCGACTAATACAACAGCATCGTGATAAATCTTTTTGGTTTAGGTAAGAGAGAATATTTGCGAGAGGGATAGCAGGAAGAGAACCCAATCCAATCTCTTCATCCAACCACTCGTCCGCCATGTTTACTAAGGTACCAGGCTTTTTTGAACTCCAACAAACACACAGCAAGCCCAATACCACTATTTTCACATTCCCATGATACATTGCGGTTGGGGCAACTACTAGCCTGCGTGGTCAGGCTCTTCGCTCGCTTTTCGGAAGGAGGGGGGAGGGGAGGGGGAAAGGGAGGAGCGGGAGAGCCTCTGACCACGCAGACTAGGCACCCGGGCTAGGCAACTACCAATTTTTAGGGCAATTGATAGTTAACCGTTCAACCCCAACCACACTCTCTTATATTTAAAGATGTATAAGAAATAAGCAGAAAAGAAAACAATTTTGAAGAAGTCTTTAGATTAAACTGACTCAAGTTTGAGCACTGCAAGAGTCGAGTCTAATACTCACTTTTTGTAAAACAAGTTTTCAAATTCCCAATAATCAAGTAATATAATGATGAGAATATGTGGACCGCATAGCACTTATGAAATACATGAAGATATAGAAATATAGATAAGTTATAGTGCTTGGGAACGAGGCCATTCCGGACGAAAGCCCTTGGAATTAAATTCGGAAAAATTAATTTCCGACCTCGCTGGGAATCGAACCCACGACCTTCGGAATTGTACTACCGATGCTCTACCAGCTGAGCTAGAGGTCAGACTGAGAGCAGGCCGGGGTGAAATAGATGTTAGGTACCGGTAATTGTGATGCAAAGATGAGAATATGTGGACCACATAGCACTTACGAAATACATGAAGATATAGAAATATAGATAAGTTATAGTGCTTGGGAACGAGGTTATTCCGGGCGAAAGCCCTTGGAATTAAATTCGGTAAAATTAATTTCCGAGCTCGCTTATCTATATTTCTATATCTTCAAATAATATAATGCTTTGTTATTTTTGGGAGGTAACTGATCATGAAACGTTCTTCAACTAGTGTATGTACACGGCTTTATACCTGCTTATCTGTCAAATACTGACTATGAGATCATTTAATTCTCGGGACATCACAAACGTTTATAATTGTTACATTGAAGGCGTATTGAAATATTTTTTCCTTTTTGCAAACCAGTAAAGAACTCGGTAAGAAAGACTGATTCCGGCTCAACAGGCGCATTAACCAGGAAACGAGGCACAGTCGATCAGCTATTTGTCGAGTATTAAGCTCCCTTCTGATTGACTATATTCTTTTTTTTCTTCCTAAATTTGGTACAATTTAGATATTTATCAACAATATTTATACAGAGGTGCCCAGTTCAGCAAGAAATTCCTAACCTCTACTCATCCCTATATCCATGCTACCACACTCTCTCACACACACGACCCCATCCTTCCCGATCCGTGTGTCACATGCACACCTATTACRCCTCCCAGGGTATCGGCACCCGACACTGATCTCATAGTGTTCTTCAGCTTGTACAGTTCAAAAATTTCAGTGTTATTACCATGAATATTGCTGCGTGTGGTGAAACCATTTTATGCATTGCAACCATAGACTTCTACTCGGAGCGATGTACGGTATACTTTTGTTATTGAAATAAATCTTATAAACATCGCAGTAAACGGCTTCTCTAGCATGTGAGTAACCACTGTATTCCTGTCTGTGTTGGCGAGAAAAACCTGCAAAAATAATTCAGTTAATGATTCATTGCCGGAAAGATAAATGTGGGGACCACTAGCCGCTAAGCAAAAGATTTATCGGGGGTTTCGTACCTCTGTTATTCCATGTTTCTTATAATTCATCCAGGTATACTCATTAATACTATAGGCGAGAGAATAGCTCGTAGTCCACCAGTCATGTTCTGGATTGCCTTGGGTAGCAACGCCAGTTATTAGCCTTCTTATTGGCGAAAAGCTAACTTGCAAGTACGGATTTACATTTAATAGCCCAGCTACCCATGCCGATGTGGCATGGAGACGAGCCAAATGTGGTTTGAAGACAGTCAAAAACCAAAGTCCTACACTGGACGCGGTTATCTTAAAATCTGGTACTCGGTGGTTTGCTAAACCAAGAGCAGGCGAAGTACAAACTGCAATAAATAACATTATATTAACTAAAGCTGAGAATTATATCATAAGGGACTGTTCATTAATTATGCCT